TGGTTTGGGAAAGCATAGCAGCTTGGAAGCCAGAGATGGTCTCTAATCCCAGATCCTTCACTTGCCAGGTATGTGACCTTGGAAATTTACTTACTTTCTCTGGCCTTCGGTTTCCTTAACTGTAAAATGGGGGTGATACTTTAATCTTTGGGTTGCGTGAAGATACCATGAATATAATGCACCTGGCTTTGCATGTGGTACATGAGGCTGGAGCTCTCTGCAAGGGCCTTCAGCCTTGGACAGGAGAAATAATACATCCACATAACCTTTTTCCTGCTGTAGGTTAAAAATGACACATATAGCCCTATTTCCCATTGTAACCCATGCCATTATCTGTCCCTTCCCTGGGGAGCAGTAACAAGGGAGGAGAGGACAAGTACTAGGAGGGGCAAACAGCTGACTCTCAGGAGGCAGATAAAATAGTGGGATGATGGATTAGTTTTCTGTTATTGCATAACAGAATATCACAAATTCAGCAGCTTAAAACAATACCCATTTATTATCTTGCGATGTCCATGGGTCAGGAGTCTAGGCACGGGTTAACTGGGTCCTCCGCTCAGGGTCCCACTGGGCTGCAACAGGGTTTTGGTTGGGGCTGAGTTCTTATCTGAGGCCTGGGGGCCTCTTCCAAGCTCACTGGTTGTTGGCCAAACTTAGTTCCCTGAGGTTGTAGGACTGAGGCCCTCAGCTCAGTTACTCGCCACACGGCCTCCTCTGTGGTGTGACAGTTTGCCTCTCCAGAGCCAACAGGAGAGTGTTTCTGCTGCTGCTTGTCTCTTTTTAAGGGCTGACCTGTTTAGGCTAGATACACTAAGGATAGTTATGTCCCTTTCAGTTAACTCAGAGTCCATTGAGTAAGGATCTTAAAATCTGTATTGCCATGTAACATAACTCAGAGGCGCTGCCTATGCTCAAGAGGAGGGGACTATACCAGGTATGTACACAAGAGCGCAGGAATCCTGGGGGCTCGCCTGGAATTCTGCCTGTCACAGAAGGGCCCCTGGATGTGCCCAAATAAGCAGAGGAGAAACCTTTTTGCTTCTTGCTTCTTGCTTTTCTCATTATCATGAGAACAAACATCACTGGGAGTACTAACCCTGCTCTCCCGTGGCTGGGCCATGATGAAACTGTTAAATAGGGACAAAAAGGAGTGAATCAAAGATGTGGGACAGCCTCACAATGGCCATGGTGCCACCAGCTTATGATGAGTGGACTCAACTTTCATTGAACTGTTACTTAGGAATAGGAATCGGTTTTTTTTAAGAAGGAAAATGGGATAGTTTTCCTTGGTAGAGTTTCATTAGTGCCTGTATGTCTGCCTCCGGGAGACACGTAGGACTAGTTAATGCTTCATGACCACAGGACAAAACTCAAAGCCAAGAGATTAAATAGTTTTCCTTCCCCTCCTGTCTAAGAGATAAACACTATTGGGGCAAGTGATGAGGGAAATGTTCACCTGCTAATGCGTGGCAGAAATACGTTACAGCTTCTCAGCAGATAAAGGAAAAGACTTCGGCTGGGGAGAGGTGAAGATTCCTAGCCCTGAAGGGTGTCATTGTGAGAGCCCGTTTCTCCCAGGAACCATCCATTACGCGGCTATCTGTGCTGGAAGTCATGTGTTAGTTTTTGCATCTGCGCATGCACAGTCTTGAGCAGCAGGAGCAGTTGAACAGCCCAGAATGCCAGCGCTGGCTTGCCCAGTGGGTACAGAATGCGTTGAGGGCATCAGCAAAGCAGTGACACCAAAAAAATTCTTTTTTCAAATAACTTGATGTTTAATACTTAATAATAAGGAAAGAGAATTTTGCGAAAACTTACATGTGTTTTATGGTATGCTGACTCGGTATCCTTTAATTTGGGATTACCTACTGTAGAAAGGTGGAGGTGGAGGAGTAGGGACTGTAATCTTTTCAGTGTTGAGGGCCTTTAGAATCTAGAGGTCTTAGACCATCCCTAGGGAGTCGCGCAACACAAAGGAGGAGTCGGCCCGAGGTGACATCTCCCAACCTATTGCTTCCAGGCCGAATTGCATCTGAACCATCTATGCCCCAAACCAGAGAACAGACGCTCCATGAGGACAAGGGCTCTTGGATTTTTTGTTGTGTGCTGTATCCCAGCACCTAGCACCATGCCTGGTACATAATAGCTACCTGGAGAACGTTCCATGGGTAGATGGATGTTTCTTCCCTTTTCAGCAGTCTTTTCCCTTCCCTCATGGAGCCTATCTCCCTTCACTCCCAGAAGATCCCAAGGCAGCATCAGATAACATTTCATGTTTCTCAGAGTTGCATAATGATAAAAAATAATCTGGGGCCACTTTCCAAATATACAGATTACCAGTTCTCTCTGTGGGAAATTCTGGTTCAGGAAGTCTAGGTTGGAGCCCAGGAATCTGTGTTTTTGACAAACACTTCTGATGAGTCTTTTTTTCAGATCAGCACTGAGATAAACAGCAGGAGCTCAACCCTTCCCCACACAAAGACTGAGGAGCCGTGGCCACTTGACCTCGTTTCTGAGGGCCTATCTAAGGTTAATACCCTGAGCAGATTGTGGTCAGTGGTGCCGAGGGAATGAGGGGCTGCAAGGGGCTTCTGGTCTATCTATCCCTAAGTCACCTGGACCCAGCCTGGCTCCTGCCTTCCTGAAGGGATGGGCCTGGCAGAGGAGGTGCTCAGAGGCCCCTCTGCTCTGAGACTAACCACTGAATTTCTTGTCCTTTTTTTCCACCAGCCCAGCTTTGTGTTCTGTCCCTTCTCTCAGCTGTCAGATGAATTTACACCCACTTCTGCTGGTTTTGGTAATGGCCTCTGCTGTGTTGGGTGGGAGTTGACCTCTGCATCCAGGGAAAGGCTGACTTTTTAGTCGATCCTGGTCACTGAACCGGAGCATTCCTCTGAGGGTGGCTAAATAAAGCCTCTGTCCTCAGTGCCCCCTCCGACTCTACACAAGAGAAACAAAGCTTGGATCCAGATATGACCCGCTCTTTCTACCTCAAGGCCTCCCACACCTCATCTGACACTTGAAGAGGCTGGCTTCTTCCTCAGTGATTCCTCTTAGACTTTCTTGGCCCCAGGATTCAGTGACCTCTGACTGGTTTGCACAACATTTATGGTTTCCAAGGACAGGGGTGAAGGTATCGAGTAACTCAAGAAAGCAAAGTTGCTGCCTTAATTCTTGGTACCATATACCTCCCCCTAAAAATACTCTTCCCTTCCCAGGAATATAGTCCTGAGATCTCTAACTGTTGGGCTAGAATTCTTTTTGGAGATTACACGCCAAAGAGGAATAAATCTAGGTCAAAGGGAGTTACTGCTCTGTAGCTGAAGGTGAGAGAATATGATAGACTATTTATGATTGTGGTCTCCAACACAATAGCCAACTATAGCTATTTAAATTTAAATTTATTTAAGTTTTTTAAAATTTAAAGGTGCTTGATAGCCAGTGTGGCTAGTGGCTACCACACTGGATAGCACAGCTAATAAAGCATTTCATCACCACAGAGATTTGAATCCGAAAGCACTATTTTAGAGGGAATGGCATCATCCCTTTGGCCCTGTCCATGTGATGTTTCTTTAGCAGCTTTGGAAATACGTCTTTGTCTCTATTGGTGGTCCTTGTGGTTACGATGCATTATTCTAGGAAAAAACACTACTAAAGATTGCCTTAGAAAGAAAAACCAAAATAAAAAATAACTGCCATAAATGCAGCACTGGGAGTGGGGGAGGGGGGTCCATTACCCAAGGGTTGCATTCATCCAGTTTCCTTTCTTCTATTCCCCTCTACAAAACTGGCCTCCCTTCTTTTCCATTTGCCTCTCTGCCTCATCTGCTGAGCGTCTTGTTCTGTGTAAGGCTTCTCAGACCAAGTGAAATGGTAAACCAGACTTCAGAAAGAACATGATCGGAGAAGAACCAAAAGCCTGCTCTGGGCACAGGAATGAACAGTTGGGCAGAATGCCCCCAAATTGCACACTGGGAAAAAGAGGAAAAGAAGCCAAAGGAGGCAATGAGACTGGGAAGGACAGGGGCTTCCTAGGCCCAGGACGGGAGTCTGGTCTGGATAGCCAACTGGGTCCCCTCTTGCCATTCCTGAGGCTGCCCACTGCCCAGGTGCTCAGGAGTTCCTCTGTGAAGTCATTTCCTGATCGGACTCCTGCTTAGTCATAGTCCGTCCACAGGAATTCGTCTGTGACTGGCCAGTGCTCTCCATCCTAGGCTCAGGGTGAACCTGAAGGAGGTGCACTGGGTGAAATGCCCTGCTGGCCTCCCTCCCCGGTCTCTTGGATGCGCTGCAAGGACTGGGCCCCTCTCCTCACCAGCACCATCTGTGGTTCCCTCCCTGAAGTGCCGGCAGCCCTGCAGTGGGTTCATGCCTGGGCTGTCCCCCTGGGGACTCGGGGAAGCCAAGTAATGCTTTGAAAGGTGGCAGGCAATGGGGTTGGTGGGCAGACGGCAGGGTAAGGTTAAACATGAGGGCCAGGGGCTACGTGTCCCAGAAAGCAGGGCAAGGGCGGGGCGGAGTTCAGGCAGGCCTCAGGGGCAGGTTGGCACAACTATAGCTCGGAGGCCCTGCAGCCAGAAGACTGGAATTGGAGCAGCCTTTTTGACTCATTCCTATGGCTTTTCTCTGCCTTCTTGGCAGGACAGCACCCCACCACCACCATCACCCCGACCCAAGCATGGCTGGCCAGGGCCTTGTCAGGTTGATGGGCACCTGAGTTCAAGAGAGTGCAAAGCGCAGGTGTGGAGGAGTTAGCTGCTCACAGGCAGGTGGTTGGTGTCCTGGGGTCTCCCATCCCTTAGCTTGGGGGCACAGGTTGTCCGTATCCGGATTGTAAACTTCAAACCTTCCAGCCTTGAGTGAGTTCCTAATGTGGAAGCAGTAGTCTGGGCTCCACTCCACCAGCCTCCACCCCGGTCGCCTCCCTACCGCAGAGTCAGCCAAATGCACAACTGCAAGCTACAGACTTATAACGCCCCCTTTCCTTCTCTGTCTCACAGCCGTCTCCAACTTGGACATCGAGAGTAAGCTGAGCGTGTACTACCGCGCCCCGTGGCTGCAGCAGAGAAACATCTTCCTCCCGGCCACGAGGCCGCCCTGCGTGGAGGAGCTACACCGCCACGCCCGGCAGAGCCTGCAGGCCCTGCGCAGAGGTGACTGACCCCGTGCTTGGGGGCTTTTCAGGGAGGGAACTTGGAGCTTGTCCCATCCTGGGGTTGTTCTCTGTTGCATCAGCCCGACACCTCCCCTCGTTATAGCGAGTACTTTGAAACAATCCCTTTTCTACCCTGTAGTGAAACTGCTGGTAATATGACCTGCTTTACACATAATTTAAAATAGCATTATGTTCTGAATATGATCGTGAAGAGAATTTAAAAGGGAAATTATTTAGAATAACAGTAGTATTTGCAATATCCAGATGCTTGGGCACAACTGCACAAGAAGACACAATGAAGCAATCAGATATTTCTACCTATCAAAAGTAGGCTTGGATTAACAAAAGATAATGTGAAGCCATCCTGACCAAAAAATATAGGGACATGAAGGGGTCGAGGGGCAGGAGGACACAGCCATAAACTGGTGCATTCAGTAGGATAAACATGAGCAAAAAAACCACCCTTTGGAATATAATTAAAAGAGAATTAGTTTGGCTCTGAAATAGGTTCTAGGCTTTTCCCTTACAGGAGATTGTGGTGGGACACTTGTGGGGCCTGGGGCACTGTTTCATTGCATCATAGGATGACTGTCATCCTTGGTTTCTGTCCCATCACTGAACACCCAGAATCCCCAGGGGGCTTCTCTGTTCCTGAGAACCAGTGATCTGATAGCTTCTACAGCAGAGCACATGGAGGCCTAGAGAGGTGGGAAAGCCTGTTTAGGGTCACATACAACCGGTTAGGTGCAGTGCTAGGGCCCAGACCCCAGCCAGAGTAGGAGCTCTTTCCCCCCTCACCATACACTGAGCCCTAGGGAAATCAATATTTCTTTCTCTCACAGTCCTCAGAAAGCCAGAGATAGCCGCATAGTGGTCAAGGAAGAAGATACCACCTTTTCTTACACTCATTACTTTTCAGTGCCTTAAATCCATTCTAATTAAGATGAGGAGATTAGAAACTGCCATCATCCTTTTAGAGCCCCCTAAATTGGGTCCCCGAAGTTGGCATGCCAGCTTTATTCGGGCTTTAGATTTTTGCTGTGGAGACAGATGGTGTCTATATAGTCAATGTCTTTGTTCCAAACTCCCTATGCTCCTTTAAGGAATGGTATTTTGTGAAGGTATTAAAATTCAAACAATATATTTTCATGTCCCTATCAAGATAGAGAAAATGACAGATGTTTTCGGCTTATTTCCTTTCACCTGTGTACTGCTTCTCCCTTTCCTCCGACCTCTAGTTTTTTCACCCTTTAATGAAGAAAGCCAACCTAATGCAATTTTATCTAAAACCTCCCCTTGGTTCTTAGTGACAGATATGGGAACACATAATGACAATGAAGAGTGGTGACCAGTATCCTCTAGAAGTACTCCTGGTATCTTAACTATTCACGTTGATTTTATAGTTCACCAAAAAGTTCTTTGCCAAATTTTAGTGCAGGTCCCCTTCCAGAACTCCTCCTTAAGGCTTGGGCCCCTCCTTTACAGCCTGGATTGGGCGCCCTTCCCATAATATCCTATGCATCTTCCCATTGTGCCGCTTACAAACTTATATCATAACCACTTATGGGCCTGTCTTCCACCACTAATCCATGAGCGTCTCAAGATCAAGGATGATATTAATTTTTTTATTCAAAGCACTTAGCGTGGACCTGACATATAGTGGGTCCTCCAGGAATGTTTGGGCAACTGAACCAGTCTGTTGAAAACTGGTTGAGCGTTGAGAACATAGAATGATGACAGGAATCTGGTCAGTCTCACTAAATGGTTTACCTGATCCCATCATCAGAGAGCTTGAGTAACGTTAGCCCTTTAGACATGATTATTTTTATCCCTTTATTATTCATTAGTCATCTCTGATTAGATTCTTCCAGATTCAACAAGATAATATTAAGGTGCTCGTAAGTGCTCACATTTCACTGCATTGTCAGGCTTGGACTGAACGGCGGAACTGAGGAGCAGCAAGTGCCAATATCCATTTTCTCAGAACTTCCTCCCGAGGTCTGAGAGAGGAATATGGGGCCGCCTGGGGGCTGGAAGGAAGACTGTGGAGCTGCATCTTGCTCTCCACAGACTGGCTTGCTTTGAGGTTGTCTCAATAGCAAATCTTGGGTGTAGTAGTTTTAATAGCACTGCAGAGAGCCATAAACAGGAATTACAGGCATCATAGAACTAAAAACATGCAGTGTAGAATTAAAATTAGAAAGCGACTTTTTTTTTTTAACCTTGTCCAAGAAACACAGAAGCTTAGCAGTGCATTCATCAGAACACCACTTGTGCCATCTGGTGGCCAGGACCAACGCGGACCTATCACACAATGGTCTTACTCAGCAAATGCCGCAGTGAGCTTGCCTGCAGATTCTGTTTGGACAGCTGCACTACGCTGGCTTCCGGCAGGAGGGAGGCTGTGGTGGCTGCAGCACTCTGCTCCTCCTGGAGATGAGGCTACATGGAGGGAGCTGGCGGGCTGAGATAAGAAGCTAGAAAAATCTGCTCCATAGTAGGCCCTTCAATAAGTCTGTTGAGGGCCAGGCATTGCAATAAATCTGGGATTCAGAGAGCAATAAATAATCCCTGCCCACAAGGAATCCCTGGTCTAGTGAGGCAGATGGACAAATAACCAGATCAGTCGTTTCAACACAAGTGATGTGGCGGCTCAGAGCAAAGGCACTAATTATACCATGGAGCTTCAGGGAAGGCTCCCCAGAGGAATTAGCACCCTAATGGATTTCAAATTATTCAGAATCTGATTCCTCCTTTTTTCCCTTTTTTTCTTAGCAATTTATGCTCAAAGCCAACAATGGCTTTAAGTGATGGCATCATTTAGGTTTGTAAAACAGGGAGAGGGAAATTACTGACTATAAAGAAATATTTATATTTTATATTTCATATGTCCTGTCCTTTCAAGTTTCAGGGCTGGGGTCTGAGTTCCACTGGTCTAAGGCAGTAAGAGTTGAGTGCAGTTTCAGGTTTTCATAGATGAATGTTCTCTGCTTCCCACCACCAGAAAAAAGCACTATTAGGGACTCATTAATGTAGCCTGCATACTCCTGGCCTGGGGCAAATGAAAGCAATATATTTAAGAAAGTATAGGAGACAGCAATTGAGCGGGAAATTGGGTTGATGTCTCCCTCCAAATTCCTCCCTTCCTTCCACCTTTTCCTAACCAGTGACACCTGTATTCTACTCTTCGTTATGAATTTAAGAATGTAAAAGCTTTTCCTTGCGCTGCTCATTTACAAAAGCCCGTTGTCTGCTTGCAGAGAAAAGAAGAGTGGCACCAGAGGTAGGCACTTTAACATGGATGACATTTACCCCAAAAAGTCTTTCTGATGAACACTGGCTGTGGAGGCAGTTTAGCAAAGACTACCTACATGGTGATGAGGACGCTTCTCTGGTTGTGAATGGGAGTCAACATCTGTCTAAAGAATTCCAGGCAAAGGAAGATGAGGAATACTGCTACCTTTTGCTGACGCAGACAAAGTCGGACAGGCAGGCCAGTCAGACATGGAGAGAAATCAGAAAGCTCGAGAATGCTCGGGTCCCAGTATAGAGTGCAGCACACTGAATGCCACTCAAAGGAAAGGGGCCAGCGCAGGCCAGGACAACAGGAGGAGCAACAGGACCTAGACAAGGGGTCTGAAGTGTGCTCCGATGTTAAGGACTAGACTTTAACGAAAGCTCACCTCATTTTGCTTTCAGTCACTCAACAAACGTTTAATGAGAACCCACTATGTCACAGGCGCAGAAGAGTGCTGGGATCAAAAGCTGAATGAGAGTCTCTGTCCTCCAGGGGCCAATTCTAGTGAAAGAAGCAGACATATAGAGAGATCCTGATTTTTATCAATTAAGTGATAGAGATGAAATGGGCCCTGGGCTCTAAGGGGCCTTTGGAGAAAGGGCAAATGACATCACCTGAGTCAGTGTAGTTAGTTCTATTTCCTAATGGGGGTAAAAAAGTAAGTAGTGTCTCATGAACTGCCAAATATTCTATGTGCTCTATTATCAATGTTCAAAGAATTAGAATGTGAGAAAATGCAATTATAATCAAATACTATCAAACCCAAGCAGTCTTGCTCTGATGAGTGAGAATGAGTGTTGGGACCTTGCAGAGCCTATAGGTCAAGCAGCGGTCAAGAGTGGGAGCCAAGTGTGTACCACCAATAGCTCAGCAGTGACTTAGCCTCCCTGAGCCCGTTCACACTCTGCAAAAGAGGGATGGTATCAGTGTCTACTTTGTGCAGTTCTCAAGACAATGCATGTAAGTTTTTGCAAGGCATCTTTGGCACATGGCAGCTAATAATTATTGGGCATCACAGTTACTGTAGATGGGCTGAGTAATGGTGATTTGAGATAACAGGAGAGCAGATTAAGGAACCTGCACAAATTTGTACATTGACTATGTGAGGGGGCTCACAAGATTTCAGGCCTGATCCTGAGTGTGGGCTGGATTTTGGCAGTCAGGGTGTCCTCTGCTGTGGCCACTAGCTTGAGCTGGGTGGGCCTGGGGGCTCACTGAGACACTCAGAAAGCTAAAGTGTGCTCCTGGTGTCTCAGTGAGCCTTGTTATGAACACAGGAGCACTTTATCACACACAAGGAAGTTTCTTGACTTTTCCCAGAAGTAGCTTTTATCCTAAATCAGACAGCTGTTGTCATTGGGATTCCTTTACTTTCTCTAGGAGCCCAGGATTTTAAAGTCCTCTGAATGGTGGTGACAGGGCTTAGATGTCTGTAATGGAGTGCTGGTCACAGGCTCAGTAAAAACAATGTGATAAAATAAATAAAACCCCTGATGTGTGACCCTCACCAGTTTCTGTGGCCTATTCCCACCATGGCCGATTCCAGGCTACCAAGAATTTAAAGACTGGCTCGCCAAATCCCTGAACACATAGCCCTCAGCGCCCCTGAGCCCATGTGAGCTGGCTCCGCCGCCCACTGGCTGGCTGTGAGCACTTGTCCCTAGCACTCCCCGGGAGGCTCAGGCATGTCTGCCTGCTGTCCACTCCAGCACCAAAGTCAGAAATCTTCCACCACTGTTCCATAGATTTTTGGGGTTTTTTTTCCTGAAATGAGGCACATTGAGAAATACACTGCTGTTTCCAAACTCAGAGTGAGCCATCTTGTGCAAAGATTATGAAATGGACCCACTGAAATGCAGGTGTTACCTGGTTCATATAAATATGAAGTGAAAGTTTAGTTCAGAACTATCTGATATCTTCTTTGGGATACAAATGAGCTAGATTAGCAAAAACTCACTTTTTCCCAGCCTTTTGCTCATCCTCCCGAGGGGAGAAGAGAAATTGAAAATGCCAAGTGTATGTCTGTATAATTGTTTTTCTGCCCCCAGAACACCGGAGCCGGAGCGACCGCCGGGAGCAGAGAGCTGCTGTCGCCCTTTCCACAGTGGCCCCTCCACTGCCAGCCTACCCACCAGCTCACAGCCAGAGGAGGCGTGAAGTTAAGGACCACCATTTTTTAACGGTGAGCTTGGTGGCCAGCCAGTGTCCCGTCGTTGCTCACTGGAAGCAGGAGTGGCTCTTGGTTTCCCTCCTCCTAGTGAAGGAGGTCGGGCCGCCTGAGAGAGCAGATCACGGGCATTTGAAAACAGCTGAGTTTGTCCCCTTTCACTCCTTTCAGTAACATCTCTCTTTTGGAAGAGAGTAGGGGTCCATGTGTATCTTTTTTTGTTGACTGGTTGCATAGAGCAGTAAGGCAATAACAGTCAAGGACTCTAAAATCAGGGGGAGACTTGCTTCTGGTCCTAGTACTTCTGCATACAAGCTGAGAGTGCTCCGGCAGCCTACTTACTTTCTTTGCCCTTGGTTTTCTCATCTGTAATATGGGGGTATGGACAGTACCTAGCTTAGAGGGTTAAATGAAACAAGGCATGCAAAGAACTTAGCACAGTGCCTGGCATAGATAAGACCTCAATAAAGGTTACCTGCTACACCTATTTTTACGAGTCAGGTGATAGCATGGCTGACCTGCCGGGGTGGGGGGGAGCTGAGAAAGAACTTAAATGATGTAAAAAGTTACCATTCAAAGATCAGTCATCTCATCACTTCATGCTTCCCCCTTCTGTGAAGGAGGCTAGTTCTCCACGGTAACCCATTACCAGAGTGATGTCATCACGGCTGGTGGTTTCAGCCTTGCCCAGGTGGGCATGACTATAACTCTAGCCCAAGCTCCCAAGTCAGGACTGCAGACAACAAAACTGAGCCCAGCTCAGAACACCTGCAAACACCATCACTTCCAGGGTGCCTTCCGAGCCTCAGCAGGGAGGGGTGAGCACTTTGTGTCTCTGAGGAGGGCATCATTGAAGTGAAGGGCTGTGTTTTCTGTGACCACATCAGCCCACCCAACCTGCCCGAACTGCAGGACCCCTGCTCCCTTGTCATGCTGGTTCAAGGCTCAAAGTCTAAGGAAGTTACAGCAGTGTGGCTACAAGTTGAGGTTTCCATTTGAAATTAAGTTTGTATTTATAAACCCTGTACCCCCATGGCTTTTAAAGTATGCAAAGTAGATGCAAAATATTGGGCCAATGATGCCAAACATCCGGCTAAGAACAGACTTCATCTAAGTGAATCTGCATGATAAAACATCCAGATAAAGCAGTGAGTGATGCTGAGCTACACATAGACTTTTTTCCTCCCATGGCAGGACAGTAGGCTTCGTGTTCTCCAGGCCATCGAGTGTCTACTAAGTGCCATTTCACACTCACTCCCTTGCTGCAGTACAGCCCAGGGACAAGAAAGGAAGGTAGGAGCCTCTTAGGGCTTTCTAGGGCTTTCTATAGAACAGTTACACATGCTAGTGATTTGTCATAAAAGCCCCTGCTCGACAAAAGTTCTTATTAAGCTCAAATCTGCTTGCTGAAGCATTTGCTTTTAATGAGGCACTTTCTGTATAAAAATGCTAAAAATATTTTTGCCATTCATTGTAACATGTTTTGTGGCTCATTAAGTTGGTTTTTGGGGGGGTAGTTGTGAGAGAGAAGAATGTTGTGCATTTGCAGAAATGACATAAAAATATTACCCTTTGTCATAATCAGCATAATTGTTAATAATGTCTAAATACCCAAGTAAAGTATAGGAAAAGGCTTAAAATAATGAATAGCAATAAGGGTGCTTCATTTACCCAACAAACATCAATAAGAAAGGAGTCTAGATCATACTTACATAAACCAGAAAATATACATATCTCAAACAATAATACTTAGTATTTCTGAGTAATCTGGAGAAACTCTGTTTCAGTTGTCCAGTTGAGTTTGGGTCACCATGTTCATTGGAAGGCTTTCCATTCAAGTTCTATCCCTCAGAGCTGGAGCTGACTAAGAGTAGAACAGAGTTCAATGCCTTAAGCTTACACGGGCTGTATACAACTGCAAGAGAAAAGGCCACAGGAATTTTGCAGCCAAATGATCGGATGAACATTTTCTTAGACAGTAACTCCCCTTTCATTCATGAGACTTTTTAGTTAAGCCAGTTTTTTCTTCCTGTGAAAAAGCATTCATAATGATATTCCCATAAACAATCTTCCGCAAAGAAATCCTACAGACTGTTGTGCTGTGGTCTGGTCATTAATGGCATGGACTGTGAAGCCAAACAGCCTGGATTTGGATACCAGTCCTTTCATTTACTAGCTGTGTGACCCTGGATAGTGTCTCATTTCAGTGTCTCAGGGATAATAGTAGACAATACTTCATTAGTTTGAAACAAGGATTGAATGTGTTAACACACGTGAACAGTACCTGAGACATAATAAGCAGTGAGTATGTATTAGATATCATCATCATCATTATTACTAGTCCATCAAGGCCCTGAGATATCAGTGATATAGTGATAACATCATGGGTCCAACTAGGTTTAAAATCCCGGCTCTACAACTTTTTGGTTGTATGATTTAGAAAACGTTATCTTTCTGAGTCCTAGTTTCTTTATCTGTGAAATGGGGATAATAACTTCGATTTTACAAGGTTGTCAAGAAGACTTAATATGATGTTATATAAATGTGATTAATTTGTGTATGTGTGTATGCAAAAGTACCCAGCATAGGTGTCTAAAATACATGAATAACATCTATATTCATAATTACTTCCAATAAAACTCTTAAACCATCAAATGAAAAGCCTGAAGATATACTCATATATAAGACTGGAGGAAGTGAAAGTTGTTACACCCTTCCTAGAGGACAATTTGCCAATATTTATCAAAACTGTAAGCTATTCATACCCTTTGATCCAGCAATTCTATGCCTAGGGATTTCTTCCAAGGCAATAAGGAGAGTCTATGCAAAGATTTATTTACTAGGATGTTCATCAAAGCACTGTTTACAATAGGAAAAATAATTCCAAATTCCCAAATGTCTAGCAATACAGTCTTAGTTTAATGTATTCTAATATATTCATAGGATAGAATACAATATTAAAATAATGTTATAGAAGAATATTTAGTGAATAGAAAATGTATATGTTTTCTCATCAGGAATTTGTAAACAGTGTGTAAAATTGTGTATCGTAGGGTCTCAAAAAATATCTATGAGGATATATGAGAGTATATATAACACATATGCACAGGAAAAAAGGCTGAAAGGCTGCATACCTTCCTAAACTGTGTGATGAGGTACCCCAGGGCACCGTAGTGAAATCCTAAGGGTGCATTGGGATATCTTAAATTTTCAAGGAACACAGTGTCGTCTGTCTGGTGATGCCTGGTGATGGCTCCAAAGCAGCCTTGTAGCTCCTACAAGTGGGTAGAAGGGATGCTTGGTTTCTTGACATTTGACTTATATCAAAAGTTCTCCAAGGGGAACTCACAGGACACTGACCAGCCAATTTAGCTTAAAACCCTGCCAGCTGAACATTTAAGGGGTGTCTCCTAATTAAAGCCCATCTGGGAGTTCTCCCTCATCAAGGGTGGCCAAGGAGATTTTAGGGCCAGATACTTCCCCACAGGAATTCTACTAAACCTTCGAAGTCCAGATAATCCTAGTTCTCTATAAAATTGTTTCAGAGTGTTGAAAATAAAGCAGAACTCCCCCATTTCTTTTATGAACCTTATATGAAGGTTTGATCCCTAAGCCTGATAAAGACAGGAAGGAATGAAGGGAGGGAGGAATTACAGACCAGTATCACTCATGACTATTGATGCAAAAATACTAAATTAAATATTAGAAAACAGAATATAATACCACATTAAGAAATTAATATACCATGACTAAATGGGATTTATTCCAGTTATGGAAAGTTGGTTTAATATTAGGAAATCTATTAGTATCATATACCATATTAATAGACCTAAGGGAGAAAAAAACCCATATTATCTCCATAGATGCTAGAAAGCCCTTAAGGAAAACTCAATACCTTTTCTTTATAAAAACACTTGAGAAAATAAAACTGAGTGGTATTTCATTAGCATGATAAAATATATGTACCTTGGTCCTAAAGTCAGTATCTTAATAGGAAAACACTAGAGGCATTTCTACTAAAATCAAGAACAAGGCAAGATTGCTCACTCTCTCTCCTACTAATTTAGCATTATACTAGAGGGAATAATTAGTACAATTTGACAAAATAATTCAATTACAGACATAAGAATTGGTAGAGAAGAAGTAAACCTTTATCTAGTTGCAGATGAGAGGATACTATACCAGCAAGATCCTATGGACTCAGTGATAAAACTCACTCAAACAATAAAAGAATTTAGTAAGGTAGCAAGATATAAACACAAAAATCAATGTCCTTCATTTACATGAATGATAACCAAGTAGAAGACCTAGTGGTAGAGAAAACATTTACAGCGGAAACAAAGAAGGTTAAATACTAAGGAATTAATTTTTCAGAAATGTGTAAAACCTACATGAGAAAAACTTGAAAGCATTCCTAAAAGATACAAAATTAGACTCTCAAATGGAAGGATATCTCTTCTTGGATAGAATGATTCAGCATTATAAACAAGACAGTTCTCAGTTAATTTATAAGTTTAACACAATCCCAATAAAAGTACCAGTAAGCTTTTTAAAAATGGAGTTAGATCCATTGATACTAAAGTTCTTATGGAGAAACAAACACAAGAATAGCCAGGAAACTGATGGTCAGTGACTTCAGTGGGGCATGGGGGAGGGGGATCTTGATAATATGGGTGAATGTAGTAACCACAATGTTTTTCATGTAAAACCTTAATACAAATAAATAGATGATAGATAGATAGATAGATAGATAGATAGATAGATAGATAGATAGATAGATAAAAGAATAGCCAGGAAAACACTGATAAAGGAAACCTGATAGTCAGTGACTTCAATGGGGCATGGGGGGTGGGATCTTGATAATATGGGTGAATGTAGTAACCACAATGTTTTTAATGTGAAACCTTAATATAAATAAATAAATAGATAGATAGACAGATAGATAGAGAAATAAATAAATAAATAAATAAATAAATAAATAAATAAAAGAATAGCCAGGAAAACACTGATAAAGG